TCTTTGTCAAAAGCAATGCTCCTCCTGAAAACACTTCATAGAATCATTTGAGTTTGATGGGACCTTTAAACGCCATCTGGTCTCACTCCACTGCAATGCACAGGGACACCCACAGCTCCATCAGCACTCAGAGCCCATTCCCTGACCTTGGGTATCTCCAGGGATGGGGCATCACCACCTCCCTGGGATCCTGTGCCAATGCCTCGCTGGGTCTAAATGTCCCCTCCTTCAGTTTGAAACCATTTCCCCTTTTTTCTATCACAGCAGATCTTGCTAAAGAGGCCATCCCCTTCTCACTTACAGCCCCTCCTTAGATATTCTTCAACAGAGATGCATTAATTTATTTGCTGAATTCAAGACTTCCTATCTGGGCTGTGCTTGTCCGAGGAACAACAGAACCTGTTCCCACGTGGCCATCTCTGGACAGATTTTCAGCTGCTGAGAATGCTTCTGGGAGCAGAAAGCCAATCCTCCCCCTGGACTGGGGACTGTTCTACTGCAGGAGCAGCTGCAGCTGGTGCAGAGTCTGCAGGAAAGTGCAGCTCATCTCTATTCTTCTGACATTTCCAGGGCACTGCACCGACTTTGCCCCCAAGGCAAAGTGGCTACTGACACGAATATTTGCTTAATCAGACTGCCACGCTAGGAACCAATTTTGTTTGAAATCCTTTTAATTCTGTTTTGTACATGCAGCCTTAAGTCCTCATGCTGGTTAATGGAGAGTGTTTGGATGCCCCATGGCAGCTTGTTAACGCTCTGTTAATGCCAATTACAGCAGACCATGAGAGAGGAGAATCAGGGTGGTTGCTCTGCTGTGGAAAGGGCATGGTTGGAGACACATTTCTGACAACGGTCACAAAATGCAACAAACTTCTCAGCTGGAGGGCAACATAAAATGAAATATAGGTTGGCTTTTAGATGTGTGATCTGCAGACACCGTGATGTAAGATGGCAAAGGTTCAGAACCGTGTTTGGGCACACTGTACATGAGATGGGATGACAGGACTGCTTGAACTTTGCATCAAATGACTGGGCCACCTTTGCTATAATGAGTGATACCAATGGAGATGTAAGCCGTGTATCATGGTTCCTCTTAAAACAACCACACCTAGAGAAAGGTCCTGTAACAACAAAACCTAGAAAGTAGTCTGAGCTGGGATCACAAGAAAGACTGATCTCATCATGAGGACTTGCTTAGATCCATCCAGCAGCAGAAGTTTCCAAAGGACCAAAGCAGTCCCAGGGTTTGGACCCATCAAGCCAGCAGGCTATCAAAAGCTGTTTAAGTTTTCAGTCATTTGGCTCTTTTAAGCAATTTTTTATTTGTAAAAGGAGACCACAAAGTTATGTAAGATAGATGTAATTGCATATTTGCATTAAATTGCATTTGCATAATGCATAAATTTGCATTTGCATTATGTAATTGCATAAACAATTAGAGCCACAGGACTTCATTTCTGGCTCTGTTTACAATGCCAGAACTGGCAGACTGATGGGATTTGTCCTAATGAGCTAATTGGGAAAATTTCCCTTGACTGTTCCATCAAAAGCTTGTTGTGCTCTAATCAGCCACTCCTCAACAGCTTATCAGGAACAACTGGAAGCTCTAACCTGCTGTATTCTTCTTGGCTTTGAGATGAGCTGAGAGTGCCTATGAGAGCCAGAGATTTGGATTCAGGGCAGTGGTAAGAGTCCCTATGGCTGAAGGATTGGGTTTTCTTCCTGCGTGTTATTGCTTTCCCCTTGTTTGTTGGTTTTTTTCTTCCTTTTTTTTTTTTTTCCTGGGATTCTTTTCTTCTCCTGGATGATTCATCTTTTCCATATGGGTTGTGATGGGAAATAAGTCCTACCCAAGTTTGTCTTGTTCTCCTCAAAACTGCATCTAGCTTTAATTACCATGGTTACCTGCATCTCTGCACTCAGGGAGCACTGCTGAATGCAAACCAACTGAAAGCAGGGAAAAGATTCATACTTCTACCAGCATAAAAAAATATCTCTCCTGATTTCTGAATCCCAAGTCTGAATTTCCCATTGATTTTTTTTTCTGTTCATCCCGATGAACTCTTGAGCACTTTGCTGGCCAATACTAACAGCAAATGCTGCAGAGAGGGCCTGCACAATAAGCCAGAGCTCCTGACCAACAACAAACAACAGAGTTGTTTCAAAACACATTAATCATCCCAGTTCCTTTGTTCAGAGAACAGTGCAGGTAGCAGGAGGTTCCTATGTACTCTTGATCAAGCAGTGCGGCTTGAATCCAAAGAATACAATAATTCTCTTCTCCCTTTAAATATACATAATTCAATCCTTACTAATGATAAAACTTTGGAAGCTAATTTGGGCATTTGTAGTCTGCACATCAAAATCCACAGTACTACAGGCGTCTCCTTAAATTTTCATAATTCCCTTAATGGACTTTGGATACCTTGCTTGGCTGTCTGTTAAGTGGTTATTTTTCTATTATGCTATTATGCTAACCTGATAAACCTGAAAGTTAGGACTGCAGAGGTTTTTGAGCATGCCTTTCTCTTATGGAAGAGCCATAAGCAACGTGAGCTGACCGTTCCTGAATGTCAGCCCTTGTTTATTTAATAATGGCTGCATTTATCACAGAATCGTGGAATGGGTTGGGATGGAAGGGTCCTCAAAGCTCACCTGATTCCAGCCCCCATGATGGTGCTCCTCCTCAGCTCAAGCTGCCCATGGCCCCATCCGTGGCCTTGGGCACCCAAAGAGATGGGGCACCCATAGCTCTGGGCAGACTGTGCTAGCACCATAAATGGTAAGGAGGGCTAGATGGTGAGAAATAGCATCCTTGTTGGAAAATGCTACTCAATATAAGAACACAGACTGAGCATTTTCAGTCAGATTTTCTCACTATCACAGATAAGGTAAAGGAAAGCATTTTCTGTGACTTGTTCTGGTGTTTCTTGCTATAAAGGAAACAGTCAGAGCTTCAAGGCTATGGGAGCCGACAGCACCATTCAGTGTGGTATGGATCTGATAACCTAAAGCCTTCATGAGGCTGAGCCAGGATTAAATCTAAGCAAACCAGATTTACTGCTCAGGCGACGTGTAAATCTATAGCTCAGATGAGGAAGCAGGGCTTATTAGCAACAGCATGTAAAGATAGGTGGCCTGCTTCCAGATCTAGGGAGGCAATGCGTGGCTGAACTGATGGGTAACACTGTCACACAACTACTTAGAGCCTTCTCTTAGAGCCAGTCTCATGTGGGTGCATCCCTGGTGCTGTAACCCCACTCTAGTCTGAGGCAATCATTTGACAGCAGTATGTCCAGAAAAAGCTGAAAGATTTTAGGGACAACACACATCAGGCACCATTCCCTTACACAGGTGGAGGTTCTCTGGATACCAGGTAGATCCTGGGCTTTATGAGCACTGGAGACCCTTCAGCCCTATTAGCACAGTTTTTCAATACAAATACATGTAGACTTTTTTTAGGAGACCTTTCAGAGAAAATAAAATCAGAATAAAACCTCTCTGAAACAGTGGGATTCATCCTTCCCTGGGAACCAGTTCTGTATTGTTCAATAAAAAAGCTAGACCATAACCAAGAAAAATGGCTCCTGAGTGCATTTCTGGATGCCAAAAATTTATTACTGCAGATGCAAATGGCTCTGGCCATTCCTAAAAAAATAGATTGGACAAGTGGTGAGTGCTACAGGGGGCCAAGAGGGATTCTGTTGAATGCCATCCAGCAGAACCAATGCCATCCACCATGTAAAATGTCCTGACATCAAAATCCAGGACACATCCTTATTTTGTCCAAAGAAGTGGACTGTGCACTCTTCGTGACGATGTGACACATGACAGCTGTCCCATGCTGGGCCCCATCCAGCCTTGGTGTTACACAGGTGATATGTGGGGTGGTGGGTAGGTGACGGTCTGAAGTCATAGAATCACAGAGTGGCTATGGCTGGAGGGGACCTTGAAGGTTATCTGTTTCCAACCCCCCACTGTGGGCTGGTTGCCCCCACCAGCTCTGGCTGTTCAGGTCCCCATCCAACCTGGCTTTAGGCACCTCCAGGGATGAGGCATCTCTGAATAATTTGCACCATCTGCAATATACTTGGTGCTTCCTTGCATGCGTTGTGTAGATTGGGTTACCAGTACCTGGAGCTGGGACATTCTGGTTCCCTCTGCAGGAGAGCTCCTCAGCATTGCCAGACAGGAGGAGATGAATGAGAAAAACCACAAAGCTTTCTAGCAGGGGATGCAGGAGCCAAGGTTTCTCTTGCAGTGGATGATCTTTGCCTCGCTGTCTATTTAGCAAAAAGAAAAAAGAAAAAAAAAAAGAGAACAGGAGACGTCTGTGTTTGCTGAAGCAGTACAAAGAAACTCCAAAGCATCCAGAGCTCAAAGCTTCAATGTATAAATCAAACATGTTTCAGCTCACACACCATTTACTGCAAATACAATGCTGGGAATTCAATATTTGCCTTCTGGAGCAGGAGGTGTTTCGCAGGGCCCTTCTGTGGCATGATATTATTCTTGTCCACTGACCGAATGAGTCTCAGGCTGAAGTTTCCCCTGCAAATGCTGGTGATTACTGGAGCAATTTGAAACGATATTCATTTCATGCTCATTGTTAGAAAAGACATCTCTGCCTGTAAATGTGTTTGCTCGGTCAAGAGCTGAAAGCAAACAGACAAAAGAGGGACAAGCAGTCAAGGCAATCTCTGGGAAAAGAAATAGCTCTTCTTAGCAAAACATTCACTTACAGTATAGACATAAGCCTCAACAATGGCAAAGGCACTGTGAGGGGTTTAACATTCAGAGGAGCAAGGGGATGAATAATTTGCAGTGCACCTGGTGCTCAGAGCTCAGTACAGCTGGAGCATCCACAGCTCGGAGATTGTACAGGGAACCAGAGCTCACAACAGCACGAGGCATCTGCAATTTGCTACCATGTTTGATGCTTTGAGGTATTTGAGAGATTGGCCTTTCTTTCCCCCACTTATTTTTGGTTTCTTTTACAGGACAGATTATTTTTAAAAGATTTCTGAAAGCATCACTTCTAGAAGTACCTCCCCTCGGAAGATGGACTGTGCAGCAGTGCATTCTTAAATCGGAGAGGAAAATAAATTGTGCTTCATGGATAAGCGTGAGGACTGTCCATGGGAATGATATCTTTTTGCTTTATTTCTAAAGCTCCGAAGGAAGTGAATTACAGAATTAGAGTTCATTTTACAGTTTATTAAAAGTGGAGTGACACAAAAAGCGTTGCTTCCCCTTCCTTCTTCTTTTTTGTGGAGTATACAGGGATTAAGGTTTGTGATTCTTGATAAGGAAGAATCCAGATAGAAACTGGGTCATTTACTTAAAATTGCCATGAATTGCAGCATCCCAGGTGGATCCTGTGTGACATGGGCTATGCAGATACCACCCAGCACCACCACCATGCCCACCAGTTCTCTCCTGCTGATGGGTCTGGTGCTGAAGAGGGGGAAAGCAGCCAGCATCTCTATCTTGGTGGTCTCAGAGCCTGAGGATTGCTGCTTAGCACCACCATGGGTTTAAAGAGGGAAGGATCAGATGGGGATATTAGGAAACATTAATTCTCCAAAAGAGCAGTGATGCAGTGGCACAGCTGCCCATGGAGTGGTGGGGTCACCATCCCTGGAGGTGTTCCAGAGCTGTGGGAATGTGGCAATGAGGGATGTGGGCAGTGGGCATGGTGGGTTGGGGTTGGAATTGGGGATCCTGGAGGTCTTTTCATTTTTTGGAGTGATTATATGATTGTATGAGAACAGAAGGGAGTTCAGTTCAGCTCCTGGACTTGTATGCCAGGCTTAGCTTGACTGTAAGCCTTGTGGTCAGAAGGATTGCTGTTTCTTGACAAAGCAGATGTTTTATGATGAATCAAACTGTTGTGTCTGTGATAACAATAGCAATTTGAATGGGGCTTTGTTAAGACTGGAGTGGAATAGGAGAGAATGCTGAGGGAAACTTCATCTTCAGAGGAAAATGTAGCTACAGTACGGTCATGGGGAGAAAACTCCATCAGGTAGGTGGTGATTTCAGAAGGAGGGGTTCAATCTTATGTTATCACGACAGCTGAAATATCTCCGTATCAGCCCTGTTCTTATCCAGAGGGTCAGAATTGGGCACTGCAGAAAAAGAGCCACGTTACAGCACAGAGCTCCTGCTGAAAAGGCAGAGATAAGACATGGAGGAAGGACTGCCAACTGCACTATGAATGAATTTCCTATGCAAATAGATTGTATAGCAGAAACATCCAGAATTAGAATGAGCCAAGCTTTTTTCTAGAGCTATTAATCATCTTGCTTCAGGGCTTTCAGCCAGTCTGTTGGAAATGAGGGGAGAATTTAACAATTCCTTTTGAAAGTTGCCTACTAAAGTACACTTAGTCCTACAGCAAACACGTGGTGATGTGAACAACTGGAAGGTGTTTGAGGGTCAGGGCCTTTGCAGACACTGTGATATTGGGGTCTGTTGGTGCTTCTGTCACCCGTGGGCTGCATTCCCAGGAATATCTCCCACACCTTGGAGATGTCACTGTCCCAGAAAAAGTCTTTCTCCCATCTTGAATACTTGGCAAACAGTCACAGACACAGAAGACAACAAAAAGAAAACACTATTATCTGATCTTTTTCCTTTGTGGTATATAATATATTGAGCTGGTCCAAATTTATCCTAGGTTTCCCTTGAGCAAAACTGCAGAGCATTAACTATCTTGAGCTGAGAGCAAAAAACGTCCCTCACAGCTCACAACTTAGCACTGAGCTTCTTTGCCCCAATGCTTTTTCTTAGCCCCAATTCTTTTTCTTATCCCAAGCAATTCTTGTCTTTCTTCACATAATGCTTATTCCAAGTTACATATTTGTTCATGTTGGCTCAGGAATTATTTGAAACCATACTTCAGCTACTGCAGGTCCAGCATTCAATAGATCACGGAATCACAAGGTTGGAAATGACCTGCAAGATCATCTAGTCCAACCACCCTCCCATTCCTATTAGTGCCACAAGCTACTAAACCATATCTCGTAGCTCCTCATCCAGGCATGGATGAGGATGTTACCCCCTCCTCAATTACAGGGGATAAAGTGAGGTGTGGACTTTCTCTGTATGTCCACATTTTATCATGAAAGTTGATATGCTGAAAGAATACAGCAATATTTTCTAGGGAGTTGATCCTGGAAACAAAGCAAGGCAAATTAAAGCTGAATTTCTCCCTCTCACTGTTAGTCACCAGATAGTTTATTTTAAGCTGGGAAGGTTCTGAAGAAATCTTACAATAGGAGGGAAATTACATACAAATGTTTAATTAGAAGCTTTTTTCCACGCTGAATGATAATCCTTGAAGAATTTGTGGGCTTAATTGGTGTTGCTCTACTCCTTCTTCTTTCTCAGCTCTAAAAAAAGACCAGGGATGAGCTGATATGAAAGGGAAATTACCATTCAGGTGGGAAGGTGGTGTGATGGTGAAGGCAAAAGTGGGCAGGGAATTGAGAAGAAGGATCTGTGGAGGTGGAGGAAAAGGCAGTCGTGAGAGGTAGTCTGAAAGTCTGGCGGGCAAAAGTTGGGGCTGATATTGAAATGTGCTTTCAAACCCACCCCCCAAGCTCTAGGAATGGTCAGTCTATCCAGAAGCTGCAGTACGCCCAGATAGAAGGAACTGTTAGAAACGTTTTCCCTCACGAGCTTTTAGTGATAATATATAACAACTGGAGTCCTGTGGGCATTTGTTATTGTGAGTTCAGAAGCCAGCTTGCAGAGGGAAAGGAAATCACCATTCATGATGTCTTCCCCAAGGATTGCCCTGCATAGTAACAGCTGTAAGAATGGATGACAGACTATCAAAATAATAAGGCAGCAGTATGAGGCTTTTCCCCAGTCCTTCCCGTACACTGTTCACAGAATGAAAATACAGAGGTTAAGTACCCACATCATTAAGAAACCTTAAAATCAGAGGCTAACTTTAACCTCAGTATTAAATATTGAGGATCCAGCTGAATGTTCTTTGCAACACACTTTTCATTCCAGCCCTCGCTTGCTGAATGCGCTCAATACATTGAAAATGCTCTATCACAGAGAGGAGAATTACTTGACATGGAGTTCAGAATCAGGCTGTAATTCCCTGTGCCAAAGCAGAAGGGTCCACATCGTGGAGATGGAGCACTAACAGCCACATTATTGCCAAGTCAGCATTTTCTTTACGCTATCCTTTGCTTTATTATATTCCTGTGTTTGAACCTGATGGAGCAGCCAACTTTTTTTCTTATGAAGTAGTTTTGATCCCTCGGCATTCAGGGAAGTGTTCTTGCAGAGGACTTTATAGGGCACAAACCACGTGGTGGTGAACAAGCTGTATCATATTGGGTGGCTCCAGCTAAGGCTGGCAGTGCTGTCATCCAAAACGTTTGAAAGAAAGATGAGCAAAATGTATTTTGCCCAGTGCGTACATCTGAAATTCAGCTGAAGCACATATGGAGTAATATAACTTTGTCACATAATTGCATGTAAACAACATAGATTGAAATACACCCCTCTCCACACAAACATGAAAAAGAGGACCTCACCTCATCTGTGAATACAGAAGCTATTTTGGGGCTAATTTTGCTATAGTTGGGAAGATCTGTGGCTTGGGAGAACAATTCCAAAAAATCTCTGCTAATCCTTACTGAAGCGAGGTCAAAGCAAGCACTGCAGAATGGGCTTCTTCAGCTCCAGCTCCAAAAATTCACTGTGCATTTTTTATCAGTGGGGCATTCTCCTATGATGCTGTGGAAGAGAAAAATAACCTTAATGCAGCTTAATAGTGGCTGAGGTGGGCTAAGAAATAGAAGCAGCAACTATCAGGATACTAACGGGTAATAATTCAGATAGTAATTGAATTTCTTCTATTTTATCTGGACTATTCAAATAAACCATCGCTAGATTATTTTTTTGTTTGTTTATTTTAGGGCTAGGGCTTATTTTCTTTTTAATGCCATCATGATTCATTAGCTCAGATGGTATCTTGACCGTGCATGGAAACATCTCTCATGATCCAGTGTCGTAGAAACTAATACATATTGCTGCCTGTTTCTGTCTGAGCAATGAAAAGAGCATCAGAAGTTAATGAACTGCACTGCTTCTTCTGATGGTCTTGAGATTTCCTTTCCCCTTTCCCCTTTCCTTTCCCCTTTCCTTTCCTTTCCCTTCCCCTTTCCACCTTCCTTTCCCTTTTCCTTTCCTTTCCTCCCTTTTCCTCCTTCCCCCCTTCTCTTCTCTCCTTTACTTTCTTTTCCTTTCCTTTTCCAAGAAAACTCAACAGCAAGTTAGCTAACAATTTTGCAAATTAATTTTCCATTTTTATCTTTACAATGGATGATCACTCAACTCCTGACAGCTACCCTACCTGTGCCCAGCAGCGTTTCCAGGCCTGACACCAGCTGAAGTGGGAAGGCACATACCTGAATCATTGGAGCCCATGCGGATCATCCTCCCTCCCAGGACTGGGTGGCTGTGAAATGAGTCCTGATCTGTTCTGATTTCCAAGCACAGATTGGGAAATGCAAATTCACACCATCTGCAGTGTGCAGGACCATGCCAGGGACAGCACAACCCTCGTGAACACAGTTGGCTTTAGGGTCCATCTCTTGGTGATTACTTCTCTCCCATGCCCAGGAAACGACTATTTCCTGTCCTTGCAGTAGTTTGAATTCGTCCCCTCAGTGTTTTCCAGGATGGCCAGCTGCCTGCTCAAATACCTGGAGGATATTTGCATCTTTCACCCCATCAGCCTGCTCCTGCAGGACCTGAATTTATGTTGCTTGGGCTGTAACCCCCCTGCACAGCCTCCTAGATAATTTTTCCATGGAGCAGCACACACACAGTTCAAAACGATAGCTGTTTTACAACAAACCTTTATTACCTTTCAGGAGCACTTAAAGCACTCTTTACTGGTAGCTTTTCTTTTAGACATTCTTCTTTGACCCTTCATAAAGCATTTCAGAGGATTTTTTCCTTTCCTCTTCTTTTCAGTTTCTGAGAAACATCCATAGTGAAAATCCTGGCTTTCACTTATCGCAGAAAAAGGCCATAAATAACAGTTCCAGCAGTGCCTGGCACTGGTGAGAATCTGCAGTGTGAACTCTCCCCTCAGCTTTTTATCATAGGCTTTCATTCTGTTGAAATCTATCAGTGATAGACTTACTTACCTTCCTGAATCCATGAGATCTTATTATAAGAAGAAGAAGGG